CGGCGCCGCAGCGGGCTGGCCGTGCACAGTTCGCCTCTCCGTGCATGCGCTCTCCTGGGGGTTGTGAAAACACAGTGGCCTGGTGTGGAGGACCAGGTCAGGGGTGCTCGTTCTGCCCTGCCAGCACGGCGGCGTTCCGGGGCAGATTTCTGGGCCGTCGCGGTGGCGTGAGCTCTTGCGGCCGCGGTGGGCTGAGCGAGGAGGTGGGTGGCGTGGCGAAACCTGCTATTGCAGAGCAGTGCTTTCCCTAGAGAGGTGTGGAAAGAGCAGAAGGGGGCTGGTGCTCCCGTCCTGCCCCAGCCCCTGCAGCCTGGAGGGAGGGTGGGAACGTGCAGGCTTCCCCATGCCGCTGGGAATGAGCTTAGGGCTGGGAAGAAAGTTGTACTGGAGAAAAGCAATGAGACCGTGCCCGGTCTGTCTGTCCCCAGCCCTTCCACCAGGAGCCACCGGGGCTGCTGAGGCTGCCTGGGCGAGGCGCCCGCCCGACGGGGGAGGCTGCAGAGCGGGTGCTGCTCCTTTGCCTGGCAGCGCTGGCTGGCAGGGCACGGGCGAGCTGTTCCTGGGAGCCCTCGTGGGCAACGTCGCAGCCCGGGTCTCAGGGCTTGCTGCCGCCTTCCGCCAGCCGTCGAGCGGCTCATGCTGGCCGGGACTGCCGGCTGTTTCGGCAGGTCTCACTCCTCCCCTGAGCCTATGGCCCCGGCCAAGCACGCGACGTGTGTCATTGCAGGGTCCTCGTCCCTCTCCCCGCAGCAGCCGAGCTCCAGCCCTGCTGCTGTGCGGTGGCGTGCCGCGGTGCTGGGCACGGGGGGTGTGCCGAGGGCACAGTCGCCCTGGCCCCGTGCGCCGGGGGGGTCCGGGCCGCTGCTGGCTCGGGGAGGCAGCGGGCAGCTGGCTTGCCCTCCGTGCTTGTGCTCGCCCCTCGCTTGGGGGGACGCCCGGTGACCAGGTCTGTTTTCTCTTGCAGAGGACGATCTCCCTGGGCGCCGGGGACAGGCAGGGGATCCAGACGCCCATCAATGACTCGCTTCCCGGCAGCAGCTGCAGCGTGGCCCTGCTCTTCCGCCAGCTTGGTGAGACTTCTCCCCGCGCCGCCTTCTCACCGGGTCCGGTGCCAAACCCAGCTGGCCGCGTCCTGGGATGGAGTTCCCTGCACGCTGCTTCCCACCGTGCTCCTGCGCCTGGCTCGTCAGCTCAGGGCTCCCTTCCAGCTGCAGCCAGCTCGGGCTGAGCCCCCCCCGGCCCTGCTTCGCCTCCCCTTCCCCAGGAGGGCGGGAGATGGGCAGCTCTCCCCGGCTGGGGCGCAGGCGCGTGCCCAGATCTCATGAGGAGCAGCCCGGGTGGCAGGGACAGTACCCGGTGGCGTGCTGCCCGTAGCCTTGTGCCACAGGCTAAAGGACACTGGCAGCTCAGCAGAGCTGCTGAGCACCTCTCGGGAGAGGGGCTTCCTTGGGGGAGCACCCACCTGGGCGGCTTTTTGGGAGGATGTTGAACTCCTCTGTTGCGCAGGCTCTGGAGACAGGGAATGGGATCTGGCTCGGGTGGGGTTTCGTGGTCTCTGGTGGGGTGCGAGAGGGGAACCCTCATTTCTGAGCGCTCTTCTCTCCCCTTTTCTCCCCAGGCATCACCAATGTGCTGTACCTCTTCTGTGCAGCGCTTACTGAACACAAGATCCTGTTCCTCTCCAGCAGTTACCAGAGGCTGACCGATGCCTGCCGGGCTCTCCTTGCACTTATGTTCCCCCTCAAGTACAGGTGAGGGAGCCCCCCCTCTCCTCAAGCCCCTCAGCCCTCCGACAGCAACCTAGAGCCTGCCGAGCCCGTGCCGGTCCTGCCTCCCCCTCTCCCCAGGCCCTTGCTGCCTCCTGGTCTCGTAGCTGTGATCACCAGGAAGCAGCCGTGTTCTGGGCGCTGCTGGCCAAGGGGCAGGCGAATGCCCGCAGCTCTGGGCTCTGCTGAGAGCCCCTTTCCTGAAGCCTTCGGCGCGCACAGCACTGTAATTCCAGAGGGCGTCTGCAGCAGCGATGGGCTGCGAGCCTTCCACCCCCACCTCCCTCCTCTCTGCAAGGCCGGGGCTCTGGCACTGGAGTGATGGAATAGAATCACGGAATCGTTTGGGTTGGCAAAGCCCTTTGAGCTCCCCCAGCCCAACCATTCCCCTA